TCCAGAGCAGATCCAGCTGGAAAGCAAGAGTGGAAATAAAACTTGAAAATTCCTACCACGCTTTGAAGTCTGCCTCTTTCACAACCACGAGTCCCTGATTCGTCCCAACCATTCTGAGCTGTTCTTGCTTGTTGAATTTATTTTAAAAGAGACACAAGCCACGCACTTGCATATAATCTATCAAATGGACTCCAGCTTTCTGCGGGGATGGTTTGTTAGGGAATATGAATCCCAAAATACCTTCTCTTGCACATGAAATCAGCCATCAGTTCAACTGGAATAGAAAGGCTTCCGGTACTAAAACTAGAAACCACTCTTGGTTCTAGTAAATACTACTTTTTCCTCTTGTGTTCTTTCCTTGACCCATCCAGGTACTTTTAATTTTTAGTTTTTTAAGGCTGTTATCTATGAAAAACTATTACTACAGATAAAAGGATATTAAGTGCCACCCTAGGCTCCTAAAATGGGCGCGTCACCACACTGAAGTGACTGCTATCCCAGTAAATTATCTGAGGAAGGATAGCCTATGACCTAGGTGGAACAAAGCTTCAATCTTGCACAGGGCCCACTGTCACCACACGTCAGTCTCACCTACCAACTGTGCCTGGGTGGATAGGGGCTCAGCCAGTCCTTTCTGCTCAAATCCCAGGTGACTTCAGAATAGGACATGGTGTCTTAGGCCAGCTGGACTGTTAGATCCTTTCTCTACTGATCACTATGACTGAGATCCAATCATCCTTAGCATCTTCGACGAACACCGGGAAGAAATGTCAAGGGCATATAAGAAACATGTCCTTGGTCACAGAACAGTCACAATAACCTAGTAAGTAACCAGACACTGAACTTCATAATAACCTACATGCCTGAGTTTCTGTCAACAGAGCAAAACACCGAAGAAGAAAATAGTTTGACTCACAGTGCCTGGTCAAGAACAATGTAGATCATAAAGTCAAAAATCCTGATTTCTGCCCTTGGGTTCACAATATAACTTTGGTCAATCTGCATAAGTCTCAGCCGGTCCATTCCCCCACAGGAAGAAAATAATGTCTGTGAAAGGCACGCTGAAAACTGACAAGCACACTTGCACGTATGAGGAGTTATTTTAACTAAATAGGAAAAATTCCATTTGCCCTCTCATGCCTTCTCAGGACACAAAGCTATGGGTAGGAGCAATGGCGGGGGAGTCCTTTGGTGTCCACTTCTCCCTTCTTTGGCCCTCCCAACTGGGAGCTGAATAATTCACTGGGGGAATGAATCCTCAAAGGGAATCAGACCGTGGACCCTAGCAGTGAACTTAGGTCTACATAATCCAAGCAACAACCCAGGCACAAATTTAATAAGGAAAAAAAGCCCCAGCAACACAAAAACAAAGAACTCTCAACTTTACAAACACTGGGAGTGCAACAGCTGGTCAGCCGAGATTAAAGGAGCGTGAGAGAACACCTCCCCATCTCCTGCCTTCTCCTCCCCCGTCGAGGTCCCCGCAGCCAGCCAGGGCTCGCTTTTACAGCCCTGTGCAGATGACCTTGTTCCAGCTAAGATAGGAACTCTTTGATCTCAGCAGGGGGATGCTCTGGGCCTGCAGCTGGTAGATATTAATAGTACAGGATCCGCTGGTGTGGAAGAGATCTCTCAGTTGGGCCAGGTCACTCGTATCCCCTGCTCTGAGTCAGAGCAGAAGGAACTTCATTTCCCCGCATCAGCCCCTGCTGGGTACTTCTCTCGGGTCAACTCGGATCATTTTCTCACTGGCTGCTCTCGGTCGCTTGTTCTCACCCCGCAACTGTTTTCAAGGGAGCGCTGTTTAAGCCGTGCCCTCTGCTCTTGCAGCTGAAATCTATTACAGGACAGGGTGAACCCTGGGCTCAGCCCATCACAGTGTGCTTCTCACTCTCACCAGCTTGCACACACTTCTAGTGTACATGTTTGCGTGGGAGAGAGGGTAGAGAGAGCAAGAGACAGACAGACAAGCCCAGAAGTGTTTACAGAGAGAGAGAGACAGCAGTATGGGGAGGGGGGCTGTTAGAGGTACGCTGATGTATCAGTGCTAAGATTTCTGAGGATCCTTTCCATTATGTTTAATCTAGGACGACAAGGTCACTCTTCCCACCCTGTAAATCAGAATTTTAAAACCCCATCACCAAGTGAACGCTCCTGACCTTCAGACCCACATCACAATCTGACAGAGTCAGAGCTAGAAAAGACTTCAGCCATCTTATATTCAACCTGTCTGTCATTTAACAGAAAAAACTGAGGCCCAAAGTGATTAAAAGAGCTGCCCAAGATCACAGAGCTAATAACACAAGGGCAAAGCTGATGATACAACGCATGCTTACAACAACAGAGAGATTTGTACATTTGAATCGTAGCAACATTAACAACCACTGCAATATATTTGAATAGGTATAAGTGTTCTAAGAAATTTATTATTATTTTTCATTCACTGGTAAGGAACTTCATTATAGGCTTCAGAAAAAAAATTCTATAGACTCTTTATCTGCTTAGCTATGGAAGGAAAAGATCTAGAAAACTCAATTGCTGCCATTCTCCCTTGAGTTTCATAATAAGAAAAAGTTGTCTAAGGATGAGCTGGTAACTCTCCCTTGGCCATGAACAGGACTTTACCATTTTTTTGAAGCGGTTACACTGCAGCCACAAAGCAATTTCCTTTATATCTGTTTTGCTTCTCTTCTTTGCTTGAGATAAACCAGGAAGCCAGGACAAAGAAAAGTACTCTTACTTATTGGCTTTCAGATAAGGAAACAAGATAGTCTCTTCTGGTCTCCTCCTTGGAACTGAATAAATGTGTGTGTACGTGTGTAATACTTATAATAATAATTTTTAATCACGTTCATAGGTCTTTATGTGATTCTCATGGTTCATTGTTGTTACAAAGCATTTACTATGGTACTGGTTCAGCATTTATTTACTGCCTACTACGTACCTAGAACTTTGCTGGTCATTCAGGCACAACAAAAAGAATACAAGAGAGCCTGTGACCTTAATCTGGTGGGGAAACCATGAAAAGTTAATTTCTTTTTTTTTTTTTTTATCTTTTCTGTCTATTGCTGATCTGGTAGAAGGGCCACAGAGGAAGAAGAGAGAGTGAGACCAAGGCAGACTGGAACAGGAAAGGAGGTTTTGTGGAAGGGGTGGTCTTTTTTTTTTTGAATTTTATTTTATTTATTTTTTAATACAGCAGGTTCTTACTAGTTATCCATTTTATACATATTAGTGTATATATGTCAACCCCAATCTCCCAGTTCATCCCACCACCACCACCACCCACCCCCATTTTTCCCCCTTGGTGTCCATACGTGAAGAGGTGGTCTTTAAATAAACCTCGAAGGAGTGGGAGGATTTGGGAAGAAAAGAAGAGGTAGGAGTGAAAAAGGGAAATGCTGTTCTAGAAGGGTGAGCTGTCTCTGCAGAGGCACGGAGCCAGGGCTCAGGAGAGCAGGCAGAAGGTCAGCATACTTGCTGGAGGAGCTTCACAGAGGGTGCAGAGGAAGGAAAGGACAGACTACAAAGAGTTAAGAAGCATCAACTTAATCTAGCGTATTTTTGGGGAAACTGGTCCACACAAGAGAACAGAAAAAAACCTGATTTTCAGCATTTGCTGATTTCCATGGTGTAAATACTTCCACCCTGGTTGACTGCAAGCTAACAAGCCACAAATTCCTGAATATTTTAAAATCAGCTTGTTGCTTTTTGCCCATTCTCAGGAAATGGGCTAAAACAACGTCAAGATTCCTGAGTAGGAGACTGACACAGTAAAAGGAAGCCAGAAATGGGGAAGTTTAATTTGGTAGTGTAAGATGTACATGGGAGAGGCTGGAGTTGGGAAGGCCATTTTGGAATTTATTAACATAATCCAAGTGTGAGTTTTTAATAAGTCAGCTGATCACAATACAACTCACAAAAAAGAGGGCACAGATATATTTGGAAAGGACAACCAAGCAGACTTGATGAAAGAAGTGTATGGAGGGAACGAAAACTGATGTTTCAGCTTTTTAGCGGGAATGACAATGCATCACTGAGTGTGGAAACACCACTGAGTGTGGTACACAGAGCACTCTACAGTTGTTATAAATAAGTAATTTGTTTCACTCTGAAAAACACGGCTGAGAAGCAGGGATGTGGTCCTTGCAATTTTTGAGACCATAATCCAAGGCCAATCCATGGAAAACCACCTGGGCAGTCAGGAGCCTTGCTAGCCCTAGAGGTCCCATATATTCCACCATGAATAATTCTCAGAAAATGGAAAGTGCAGAGGGGCCTGGAACAGCTATGCTCATCCACCCAGGCCCACAGCATACTGCCGTGAAAGCAATCAGACTACAACTAGCAGAGCTCAGAAATGTCAAGTAAGAACTTTCAGTAAAACTAGAAACCACCCACTGGCTCAGTGGTGTAATTCCCCTAGCTACATAAACCAGAGCCAGTCTGACCTTTGCTGGCATGGGAGGGTGGAGAAAATTTTGCAGATTTACCAACGTGGCTAGTTTTTCTTAATCCTTCTGTAAAGCTGATTGGGAACGCCACGTCTCCAGTACATGATACTGGTGTACACTTTTAGCCAGTCCAAAAGTACCCAGCACAAACAAAAGGTTAAATTGCTGTACGACCATGGGTAAAGCCAACATTTGAGCATCAGTCTCAAAAACAAAGTCATTTAGCAGTTCACCAGCCCTCATACTGAGGACCCAAAAGAACCTACAGAGGAGTGACGAGCCTTAGGTGGAGGTGACAGATGCCTGTGAAGATGATTCACTCAGGTGAAAAAGGAAGCTCACTTATAGAGACAGAGCAACACACTCTCCAAATATAAGGGATCAGATGCCAGGAAAGGTGGCCAAGCCTATATCGCCAGGCTCCGGCTGGGTTCACTGGCCAGGGCCTGTTAGCTGTGTGTCTCAGTTCTCAGCAGAAGGCAGAGAGGCAGTGGCGGAGCCGTATGTCAGTGTCAAGTTTCAGCCCCTCTAAGACAGATCCCTTACCTTCAGACAGGGACAAATCATCAGCTGGAGACACCAGGTCTGCCTGAGAAGCTAGGGCTCCACTCAGATGGGTTGTAATTTGATTCGTCAAGATAACCTGTGAACAGACAAGGAGAAGGCGGAGGGAAGGGAGAAGAGAGAAGACCAAATTAATTATTAGAGCTATCAAAAGGCTGTCGTTTAGGGGAAGACTGATAAGTACGCAGGTAGGAAAACCCCAGCTCTGACTTGCATCAGTTTTATCTTTAGGCCAGAACTATCTGGCAACGCCTCCAGGTCATTCAAATCACAGAAGACCGAGGAAACAGACTGACTTTTTTCAGAGCTTAAACCACTAATCAATTCTTTCTAAATGCTGAGTAAATTGGGACAGAGAAGTGTCGCCATATTACCTGAATAACAGAAGGCCAACCAGAGAATTAAGATGAATACGTGCACACTTTATCATTTTTAAATTATATTCACAACATACAATATGACTAGCGCTGAAGAAAAGCAATAATTTAACATCTGGGTGCCTGGGGCTTCTTCCCTTGTTAACTGGAAAGTCAGAATTTTATTTCCAAATTTGTGAAATTAGAATAAAATTCATCTCTAAAGGAATAGCACTCTTCTTCTTTTCAGTAAGTTGAATTCTAACAAAAGAATTCCAAAGTCTCACTATGTATTTAAAACACAAATTAATAGAATCCGACCTATACAAAGTAAAGTTCATAACATTTAAAATTCCTAGAAAGGACTCTAAAGTCACCTAATCCACATGATTTATTTCCACACAATATTTTTACATATGGTTCCATCAAGAAATTATTCTTTTCCTTAAAAAATCCTCATTTATAAAATTTGCTCTATTGTTTAGAAACGTAAAGGGAGAACAGAACACAGATTCTCTCCTGGAAAACTGCAGCAAGACTAACGTTACAATCATTTCTCAAGATTTGAGGTGTTCCCATCGTGGGCATCTTGGTGAACCATCTTGGTCCCTCAGAGGAAACGTAACTTCTGAAAAACTAGGCATTTGGTACCTGGAATATGCAACTAGCCAAATCGTCGTGGTCTGTCCCAAGGGCCAGCTATGGTTTTGCTGCCACCCTGATTGGAGCAGAAATGGAAATTGGCTCCATCCTTTACTGTCCAGCTTTTCAGCCACACCTCTGTCGCTGTCTCTTGAATGGACCAATGACACGTTATAAATCCTATGCCAATGGCAGCTTAATTGGGGGCTGAGAGGGGAGCACGATGGCAGGGTCAGGAAAAGAAGTGAAGTACTCTATTAACAAAGACAGCCTGTCCAAGGTCTTTGTGTGTCAACCAGGCTCGTGTGAATCCCCAGCTACTCTGCAGCGATGACCGGATATTGCAGTATTCCACTGAGTATTTGCTAATCTCATCCTTTCTATGCTTTTGTATTGCTCATTTTCATCTGGACTGGTAAGAATCACATATGATAAGTCTTTCAATTAAAATGGCTGGAAATGGCCAAATAAAAGCCTGCTCTTTTAAGAAATAAATACTCATATTCAGGAGCAAGAATAAGCAATTATGTTCATTTTCCTCTTTATTATATAGGGTACGGGCTTTGCTGTTCAATAAAACTGGGTTCAAACTCTGACTGTGACACTGTGAACCTTGGGAAAGTTACTTGAATCTTTGAGCTTCATCTATTCATAGGTAAAATAACACCTATCATATAGAACCATTACGAGAATTGAATGAGATAATCAATGTAAGGTATTTAATATAGTGTCTGGCACGTGATAAATATCCAGTAAATGTAAGCCATTGTTGTTGCTATTATTTCCTTAAGAAGAATGTTATATAGGTTAATAAATTACTAATAAAGTATATGCCACATCCTTCAGATCATTGGATCTAACAACAGAACATGAAATCACAATTTTCTACATCACGGTATATACTTCAGTACCTGATCATTTCTACCAGTCTCAGTCCTTCCTAAGCTTAACTTAGTTTCAAAGAATTTGTGTAAAAATCTCAGTAAGAAAACGATAGTAATTATTTAAAGCAAGACCAGTAAGAAACCGGCATTGTTTTGAGAATACCATGTGATTTTTCTACCAGTGAAGAAAATAATGTATCTGTCACAGTTAAAAAAAAAAAAAAAAGTGAAGCTTCAGGAGATCTAGACATGTAAGCTCTATTTTGGGGGGAATTCTTCTAAAAGGTGGTTTGGTGAAAATGACTAGAACACTAGTGATATAGTAACAGTAATGAGAAAAATAATTATTGAATACCAACCATGCAAAGCATGTCACCACGTACACAGGGGAAAAGAAAGAGGTGAAGGCTCTGTGTGTCTTCTCTAGAAACTTGCAAGTTAAAAGATAAGACATTTACTAAGATATTCAGACCACTTTTTCTCCATTTTATTATTATTTCCCTGGTCCTACAATGGAAACTTATACTGAGATGATGGCTTTATTGTCCATAGCTAACAAGATGATACCCTGCTGAGCCTAAAACCAAACTACAGATGTGCCTCCAAAGATACCCACCCCCAGTGCCACTTCCAATGCAAGAGCAGATGCCGAAGAAGCCATTTGTACTCTCCAATGGCAAAAGAACAAGCTCCTAAGTGGTTTCGCTAATAATCCACTCCCTTTTTATCATGAGTCTGAAAGCCAAATTGCTGAAGGGATGCACAGCAACCAAACTCAGGGGGTTGCTCTTGCTGAATTGTGATTTTCTAAATCTGTGATCAGCAGAATGATAAAATGGAAATATTTCCAAATAGCACTGATTACAAATAATCATGACTTGGGCAGAAGCCTAGAGATGTGTTGTCCTCTGAGGCAATCTGGAGACATGAAAACTACACTCCTAAAATAACTTATCAAATACTATTCCATATTATAAACAGAGTCTTAACACTATCTGCTTTCCAAAAATGAGTTCTGACTGACACTTCAGAGGGTCTTTCGGGCTGCTCTGCTCCACTGGAAAGATGAAGGCTTCTGACACTTGGTACTAAATTTGTGCGGGAGCAGCGTGCACAAGGATTAGGCTGAGGGCTTTGGAGTCAAACAAACGTGAGTTCAGATCCTGGGTTCCACCACTTACTAACTATGTGATGTGGAGCAAGTTTCACAACTCTCTGGGTATACTTCTTAACTCACAGGGTTTTGAGGAGTAAACTGGATAATGCATATAAAGTCCTGAGCATAGTGCCTGGCCAATGGGAAATGCTTAAATGTTAACCTCCATCCCTGTCTTTGCTGATTTTACACCTTGCTTGTTGAGAAAGAAAACCCATGCCTGCTTCCCTTTTGTACAACATATAGTACGCTGATGACAAAGAACAAATATTTGCCGGTGATATGCTCAAAAAGCATAAAAATTTAATTGAAAGTGCATGCTATTTTTGCCATTTCTCTAGAAGTATGACTTATTAAAAACATACAACACACTCCACCCCCCTTCCTGCTACTACCATCAATTTCAAATCCAAAGGCTAGAGTGAGATTCTTGGACTAAGGGGAAATTTTGCTTTTGTTTTTTTGATGGTAGTGATTACATCTTTACATCTGAAGCCAGGAGAAAATGGAATTCAGCTTAGTTTACTCTTCAGGCAACAGAAGACCATCTACCTACTGAGGGGAAACAGGCAGCCCTCTACATTGTATAAAGTAACTGTTAACTCCATGCAACTCTGTATATGGAGAGACCGCTTACTCCCAGGGCTTCCTTGCAAAGCCGGCAGGTTGTAGGATGCTTCAGGTACACATGAATAGGAAATGACTCCTCATATCATGTCACATATACCTTGAGTCTCATTTTTAGTGCTCCCCTCCCAAGGCAAAATGGGGGGGGGGATCCTAAGTTTGCCCCTGGGTTCTAAGTTTCCCTTGCATCATTCAACTTCCCTAAATGCATCCTACTCGACCCTTCTGTGCACTGTAGTTCAACACCTAAGCTCAGTTCAAGGGAACAATGAAGCTCTCAAAGAAGAATAAACTTCAGAGTACAGATTCATAAATAACCTAATAGGCCCGCCTTCAGAGAGAGCAGGGCTTCTCTTATAAGCTAGAGAGGAGATGGAAAAACAGGAAGCAGTTAAAGACCAGAAGAACTAGTAAGGCAGATGGTTGGGAATGAATGTCATTTTGGTCAGAAGGCAGAAGTTCCTGGGGATGAAAACCTAGCCAACACACAAACAAACAAAAACATTATGACTCTTTTCCACTAAGTATCAAAAAGGTAGCTTCCGAAAGCAAATAGCTAGAGGTTAAGGGGGAAGGAGCAGAATACACTGGTCAGAAGAACCATCAGCCTCCAGGGTCAGGGGACTGGTGAGCTGGAGTCCACTGACCAATTGAGTCTGACTCCCCACTAATCTCTGTGTCCACTGTGGACCACCTGCCTTCAGTTGGCACATCTTTCTTCAGCTACACTAGGACCAGACTAATTTAGGCTATACCCACACCCCATGCATGTCTCCTGCCCCTGGTCCAAGATAAATCCTGCCTTAAGGGGCCTCTGTATGTGTCTAGTCTGATCTACCCTACACTGAAGTATTAAAGATGAATCTCTGTTGGGAGCTCCACAAGCAGCCACTTAGTATATTCCAGCCCAGTGGAAAATGGTGGAGAGAAGAGAAAGTGGGACAGCCCTGGAGAAATCAAAGTAGGGAACTGTCAGGCCTAAAGGTCCAGCTTTTGATAAACAGCCTCCTTTTATTTGACCCTTGGGAGGTGACACAGAGGGAGTTTGTGGTCAATCAGGAATAGAATAAGTTGGAATGGGATATCTGGCCCTGTTCGGTCAGCAGAAGAGAGATTCATGGTCAACAAAACAATAACTCAATATTTATAAGTCAGATTCTTTTAAGGACCTAAGAATATAGCACATGCCCTCATTCAGCTTTCTGTGGGGGCAGGTGAGAGGCAAATTTTATAATCCCCGCCTTCCAGAGAGTGAACTAGAGTCATCTGCCTGAGATTAATAGTCTAGATAAGAAAGGGGGTCTACAGGCCTCCCTGCCCACTCTCCCTCCTAAGACAGCACTGGGCAGAGGAGAGGAGAGCCAGGAACTCTCAGCCCAGAGCCACAGGCAGGTCCAGGCCTTGATGCCCTGGT